AAGAAGGTATATTTATAATCGTTATTTTTTTCTCAGATATTAGATATATTATAATAAGCTATAGCGATATAATAATCCCTAATCGATAATTACTAATAGCTTAGGATATTAGTTTATTAACCTCAAATAGCTTTTAATAATAACAAGCCTTATTATACAAACTATCGATAGTAAGGGTCTTAGGCCTAGGTCGGTTAGCTAAAGCGAGGGTAGCGTATTTCTAAGATATTCTCGCGTTTTTATTAAAGCTACGGGCGATAACGTAGACCTTAATATAGTTTTAAACAATATTAATAACTAAAGAGGGCTAAACAGAATTAAAATATAGCTAGGTTTAAGGCTACATAAGGGACTTATAATAATACTAAGATTATAGTTATTAATATTATCTATATTAGGACCGCGGGCGGACTAGCGTATTTTTTAACGGGCTAGGGTAGTATTTGTATTAATAAGGGTATTAATAAGCTATCTATAGATTAGATAAGGTTATAATAAAGGATCGGGCCGGATTTATATAAAGAGATAACCGCTAGCGCGTTAAAAGCGACAATTAGAGTAAGATCTAGAGACAACTAAGGACGTATCAGTATTAAAATAAAACTACTACGAAACTAGCTAGGATACGTATAATATATAAGATATAGATAAAGGGTACCCTTATCCTTTAGGCGAGAGAAGAAAAATACGATAATAGTATTTAGATAATAAGTATATTGATATGTAAGAGGGCGCTTATTACTAACTTTAGCGGGACCTTATTTATATTATTTAGGGTAGCGGTCGGATATAATAAGGGTGGGCTCTTAAGTAAATATATATAAAAGAGTAAATAATTAAATGAAATCTTTAGGTAGAAAAATAATAAAATATAGAGGGCGATAATAATACAAATCTAAGTAAGAATTATATAAACTAAAGTATATCAAAAAAATAAAAAGAAACAAACAAAGCAACAAGGGGTAATATAGGGTAATAAATAAATAAAATTTATATGTAGTAGGGGCTAACTTAGCTTAAGGCTAGGCCCGATCCTCCCGGAGCCTTATTATAACGGTTAAATACTAGTAAAATATAAGTAAGATTATAATAGATACGCGGGCGGAATCAGCCTTAGTATAAGAGTAATATTATAAAAGCTAGTATTTTATTTCGTATTTTATAAAGTAAATAGAGGAGTACTATATTAAGGTTTTTACTTAATTTTTCCTTAGGGTTATATAGCCTAGATAGCCTGGTTAGCTAGCAAGAGGCACCCGTAAGGGCGTATAATTTATGATTATTATTATTATATTATTGATAAAGCCTATAATTATTATTCCGCTAATAATACCGAGCTTATTATAAAAAGCTACATAATAATAGAGGAATAATATTAAGGAAAGGGGCGAGCCCTGGGGCTACTAACGGGAGCGCTATATTAGAAAAGTAGTTAATAAAGCTGTAATGATAATTTATAAAGCCTAAGAAACTTTATACCTTTTTTATTATTATAAGCGGTTCTTACTCGCGTATAGCTTATATCTTTTCCGGGTCGTAAGAGACGCCCTCCCTAGCCTTAACTATATAGCCGAGGTACTTTAATTTTTTTTTTATAGCGAATATATATTTCTTTAGGTCTAAGGATAATCTTATTACCTCGAGAGCCCTTAGTACTTACTATACTTTCGTAAGGTAGGCGCTCTTTAACTTATTTAAGTAAAATGAGATATTACTAATATAGGCTATTATAAAGTCTTTAAACAACTTATAAAATACACTATTAATCCGCCGCTGGATTATAATAGGGGCGCCGCTTAAGTTAAAGGTATAGATAGTTTATTCGAATCACCTATATCTAATTTAAATTATCATCTTCTCTTTATAACTAAGGGCTATCTTAATCTTATAAAACGCGATTACTATATTAAGCTTAATAAATTACTTCGCTATAGCTAAGCTATAGAATATCTCCGAAATTAATAAAACCAAGTATTGGTTTTTTTTATAATTATATTTAAGGCTTAATAGTTATAATAGAATTATAATCTATTACTTAGCTTTTTTATAAAAAAATACTAAGGCCGACGTAAGGGAGCTACTAGCTTATATAAATCTATTATCAAATATATCTCTTAGTATTTTCCATAAAACTAAGAGTTCTTCTTTAAATATCTTATATAAAATTTTTATAAAAATAAAGCTTTATTATTATTATTTTCTTATACTAAGTATACTTTATAATCCACCCTTAGTTAATATAAAGGTAGTTCTATCGCGTAATCTAGCGAGAATAACTTTAAGAAGTCTTATAAGATATGAGCCGGTATAAAATCCCTAGGATCTACCGGTATCTTTAATATAAGTATATTATTATATATTTTTTTAAAGAGATTATATTAATAATAAGATCTCTAGGTTTATATTAGTTTTCATGCCGGCACTCTATAATAAAAATACTTATTAATACTAGCTTTAATACTCTTATAACTTATACTTTATAGGGTTCTTTTTTTTTTTTAAGTAAACTATTAGCCTTATATAGCTATACTAAAGCTATTCCTTCTTTATATTATAGCTAGCTTTTTTATATATTATTTATAAGTTATTTAAGAATAAGTCTTTGCTAAGACCCGGTATTATAGAAGTAAAGACCTTTTCTTTAAAGCTATAAATACCTATTATTAATATAATAATTTTTTTATTTATAATTGTAAAATAATTATAGCTAGAGTTTATTAAAGTATATATAATAAATATATTATTTATTTATATTTATATATTTAATAAAAAGCTACTTAATAAATTCTTAAACCTCTTTTAATAAATAACCTTAGCTCTCGTAAGCCTTAACGCCTAACTTCGCTTCGGGGCTATATTTTTCTTACTATAATATCTAGCTTTTTATTATCCTCGCTATCGCTATAAGTCTCCTATAAGACCTCGGCGACCCTTAGAGATAAGTATTTCTATTTAATATAGCCCTCTTAGCTATAAGATTAATATATAATTAGCTTCCGCGACTAACTGTCGGAGGTATAGTCACTTTATTGTAATAAGTAATTGATATTACTTATTTAAATATTACTATCGCTAACCTTAGGAGTATATATATAGTTCGCCTTAGGTATAGCCTTTTTATAAGAGAATTATATTTTCGCGCCTTTATTAATACTCTCGAGTTTTTATATAACCCCTTATACCTTAGTAACCTAAGCGCTATAGTTATCTAGGAAATCTACGGGAACGAGTATAACATAAAATCGCTAGCTTACTATACCCGGTAAGAAAGCAACGCAAGTATTATTAGTCTAGAGGCTACCGCCGGCTTCCGCTAAAATATACTCGAACTTAAGTAAGAAAGCCGCGAAAAAATATATCTCGCTTTACTTAAGGTTATATAAGGTTTCTATAGTATATATATGTTAATTTAAATCCGCGTGATACCGATCGAGGTAGGCTAAGAAAGAGTAAGGGTCTTAATTAATTTATTCCCTAGCTTTATAATAAGCCTATATAATATATTACGTATTAGTATTTAAGTAGTTATTAATAAAATATTAATATTCTTATTATCAGTCGAAATAGTTCTAATCTAGCTCGAGCTTATCTTTTATTTAGACTTTCTAAGTATTATAATCCTTAATATTACCTAAGAACTTTAGCGAGTTCGTTAGCGGTTTTTTTATAAAATAATTACTAAGTCTTCGCTTATAAAGCGCTCTAATAATAATAAGCGGGGCGTATATAAGGTATTCCGCGACTTATGAAAGAGCGGGCGTCGCGTTTATACTATAAATCAGCTCCGAGAGCTCTACGATCTACTCTTATATCGGCTAGAGTAAGGTATTAATTTACTCGGCTACTTATATAGTTACCTCGGGGGGTACTTTAAGTATTCGTTCGCCGGATATCGTAGCTCGTGCTATACGAATACGCTACGTTAGAAGATAGATCGTTAGATATATTATAGGCTAAGCCCGGTTAGAATAACTTAATAGCTTAGATTAAGTCTATCTAACGAGAAAGTAGAAAGGAAAGGGGAACGTAGAGTTTACGGGCTTTGTATTTCGTGGTACGTTACGGGGCCCGTGCGTTCTCCTAGGTATGTATACGTAACGTGCTTCGGTGATCCGGGCTAGGTCTTATACCTAGCCGCTAGCTTACTAGTGGAACCGTAATATTTATTAACTTTATTATAAGTTTAAGCTTATTTTATTTATTAAGTGCCTATTCTATAATTCAGATAGTAAATACTTTACGTATGCCTAATATAGCTTTTATTAATAACTATCGGCTCCCTAAGGGTAGCGTTCTTATCCTAGTTATAGGACGATATCGTGCCTAAATGGAGTTTAATATTATATACTTATTTTTAATCCTCGCGTCGATTTTAGACGCGTATTCGCGAAATTATAGCTATTTTCTAGCCACGCGATTTTTTTTTTTCCTATATAAATATATATTCTTTAAATATATATTCTTCAAATATATATTCTTTAAATATATATTCTTCAAATATATATTCTTTAAATATATATTCTTTAACTATTATAATTTATAATAATATAAATCTATTAACTTTATAAAGATTATATTTCGCGTAATTTTAGAATATATTTGAATTATATAGGCTAAGTCTTATACCTAGCCGTAAGCTATTACTAGAACTATAATACATGTTAATTATTTAGCTATTATTTAGCTAAAAACTTCTGAAAAGCGGACTGTTCGATAATAACGTTACCAATAGCCCGCAGCCTCTTCCTGCCCTCTTTCTGCTTTTCTAAGAGCTTTTTACGTCTTGTGACATCGGCGGCATGGAGCTTCGCTAGCACATCCTTTCGAAACGGCTTGATAGTCTCTCGCGCAAGCACCTTGTTACCCGAAGCTGCTTGAATAACAATTTCTGTAACATATTGTCAGGTTGTGCATCCTCATTGGCTAGGGTCGGAAGGTTTTTAGCGTACCAAACATCTGTCGGTCAACATGCTCCTTGAACTTGGTAACCCAGTGACGTGCTAAGCGGTCTGCTTGCGAAGTGTGAACCACTCGGCAAATAGCGTCAACGGGTTGCTTGTTCACGAGAAGCTGTAGCTTGACAAGTCTGCTTTCTCTCCAACCTACATCTTCGTATTCTAGCGTCGCATAGCCCTTCCTGTCGAGCAACGGGTTAGCAGCCGAGTGTAGAGCTGGGAAACAGTGACATACGTAGCGCCTTTGAGCTTGCCGAAGAAGTCGTCCACTAGTTGGGATGCCGGTAAATCATAGACGACAATAACCTGAGTGGCGTGGAAAAAATCGATGCTCCTTTGCTCTCCCCGATTTGCTTCGCAGAGCTCGATCACACGTCCTAGGTACTCCTCGGGTGTTGTCATTGTCGCTCGCACAAACCTGGTCTTATTTGAGTGTCGCTTCATTAAGTTCTTTGGTGTAAGACTCACGGTTCAAGGGCATGGCATCCTCGCATTTTCTGATCGCCAGGTTCCGGAAATAAAGCTGGATTCTGAATGATTTCTTCTGTCCCATCTGGATGTATAATCTTTGAAGGGACCGAAGGTTCAGTGATAATCACATCGCCACCATGCTCGCCCTTGAGGCGATCCTGGAAGACTGAGCAGTGGAGGCTGCCCAGAAAGCCTAGCCTCCACCCAGATCCCAAGGCCTCGGAGAAAGCCTTCTGCAGCGTGACGCTGCGGTCATTGAGAACGAGCTGGCTAATGCTGTCAGCGATTCGGGTGTAATCACTTTGGTCTGTGGGGAAAGCAGCTACGAAGACCATGGGCTGTGGCTCTTCAAAGCCAGGGTATGGCTCGACAGTGAGCTGATCTTGAACAGTGGTGAAAGTATCTCCCAGTTTCGCATCCTGTATCTTCTTCATGCCGGGATTGAAGAAGACGTAGCCAACTTGTCCGGCGCGCAGCACACCTTGCGGAGTAGCATTTGGATACTGTATTCCGACCTGGCCAACGGCGTACTTCATACCCGTACCCAAGGATACGACATGATCGCCGGCTTTCACGACACCATCAAAGATCCTGACGAGAAGCACCACTCCTTTGAAGTTGTCATACCAAGAGTCCACAAGAAGCATCTTCAATGGCTTTTTCTCGTCGCCCACTGGATGGGGGATCCTCTCAACGACCGCAGGAAGAATGCTGTCCACCCCCTTTCCGGTCTTTGCGCTGACAAGGACGGCCTGGCTTGGATCAAGCTCAAAATTCGACTCGATTTGCTTTAGGACCCGCGGGACGTCTGCGGAAGGCATGTCAATCTTGTTGATCACCGGGACAAGAGCAAGATCCTGTGCGAATGCGAGATGAAAGTTGGACGCTGTCTGCGCCTGAATACCTTGGCTGGCGTCGACAAGAAGCAGTGCGCCTCCGCAACTGGCGTATGATCTTGTCACTTCTGCGCGAAAGTCGACGTGACCGGGTGTGTCAACAAGGTGGATCAGGTAGTCCTGACCTTTGTGCTTGTACAGCATGGTGCAAGTCTGGGCCTTCACGGTGATTCCGCGCTCCCGCTCAACGTCTAATTTATCCTACCAGTATATCAGCGCGCAGCTCCCTTAACGGCTGTCTGTGGTCTGTACTAGGATTTGTTTGTTCGCGTCGCTCGCGGATATCGTCCCCGTGCGCTCCAGCAGCCGATCGCTTAAAGTGCTCTTCCCATGATCGATATGGGCAACGATGCAAAAGTTACGATACCTCTCGATGGGTATCGCAGCAATGCGTTTCTCCAACTCGGCAGGCGAAGGTTTGTTCGAGTAGTAGGCGCGTCGCGTCGCGGTTCGCAGGAGAAAGGTGGAAGCTCGTGGCGAGCTCATACGCTTGACGAGACACCGAGGTTGGTGCCATTTTGGCAGGCACCAGACTCGCCCTGTGCTCCAGCAAGCCGAGCTCATCGGAATCCGAGTGAAGTGCACATTGAAGGTTGATTGTGTGTTCAAATCCTATCGTCACACCAAGAGGTATCACTGGAAATCGCATTGGAAAAGGTGGAACGTCCAATCCCGACCCTGGGGATTGTGCTCCACCAACTTGTGGCCCCGGGCCGGGCGAAAGATGGCGTGGCTTCAAGCCTTCAATAATTCCTATGTTCATGTTCTCAATGAACTACGTTGCAGGGGTATCTATCGTAACTACGTGCGTCAGATGGTCGCAGCGAGGCGGGCTCCTCCATCCTAGCCTGCCAGATTCACGTCAAAACCCATTCCCCCCCTCGTTTGATGTATTTATCCAGCAGCAAGCCGAGATCTGCCAAAACGAAACGACACACGTAGAAGCCAAAGAACTCGGCCGCGTGGCGCGTACAAAGCTCCAGGCCAACCTGAGTCTTGTCGGCATGCTTCAAACCGGGATCTTCGACTTGTCTTGCTATCTGATCTGCACGGAAATGTTAGTCAGCTTGAGCTAACCTTGCTGCGGGCGGTCTTGTTATTTACCAATCGCTTGAGCAGCATCGAACAATCGGGCAAGTGAACCCATGTATGATGCATTGGGACCCGAGAAATTTGCCTGGCTAATGTCCCTCTTAGCCGGCTTTCGCGATGGCTGACTTGTCATCGGAAGGGATGCAACCGTCTGTATCTCCTTGATCGTCTCGATTGGAGTGCTCCGACTCTGTGCCGTTAAAGTAGCCGCGGAGTTCTTGGAGCGAAGCCTCCGCCAAGAAAAAGAGGATTTACCCGATACGCTCGCAGATCGTGACATCGCCATATCGCCATCCGGAGGCACAGTGGCCTCCTTGAACATGGCCGAGGCGTTGGAAACACCTACTTCATTCCCGAGTTTCCGCACTAGCGAGGCTTGTACCTGCTCCAGTATGTTCTCAATAGCTTGCATCTCCTCCAGCATAGCGTCTGCGTCGCATGTGTCAACGCGTGCCAGCTTGAGAAGAGCCGCGGTCAGGAGATCGCAATTAGCAATCTTGTCTTCCACATTCTTGAGCTTAACATTTTTTACCTTCCAGGCCTCCCTGGGCACGAATAGTTTGGAACTGACATATCCACCACGGGGATGCACCAGGGTCTGGAAGAGGACGCGCATGAGCCAGAATGGACGAAGCAAAAAGTCAGTTGGACACGGCTCCAAGGAGATCGGTGCCTCAGGATCGTTCAGATCGGTCGCGCCCGGGTCATCCGGAAAGTGGAAATTGTCATCGAAAATGGGCATGCTCGCATCGAACTTTTGCAGGTTGACAGCTACTGCTGGGGGAATGCTTGGCATCATGGGTGTTTGGGAATTGGTCCAGTGAGAGCTGGTGGGCGTGCCGGGAGACATCTCGGACCATTCATCGAGGTGCGATACAGACATATTTCGACCTTTCAGACTTCGCAAGCTGGATGAGGAAAAGTTCTTCTTCAGCTTGCTAATGGAAGGAGACGTAGAGCGTCCTGTGTCCGCATCGTCTGGATCTTGTGCCGCTCGTGGTGCAAAAGGCGAATCGAGCGGCCGTGTATCTAGTGGACTGGGCCCAACTGAAGGTGACGAGGTTCGATGCGGAATGGCGGGAGGACGTGTATTGCCTTCCAAGGGTCGAGAAGACTCCCGTCCACTCGGCGGAGAGGTGTCCGGATAGGGCGACTTTTGCTCCAAAGCGGGCGGCGGAGGGGATGGCGTTAGCTTCATCGTCTCGATTTTCAGCTGTCTGTGCGCCTGGCCAGACATGCGACGATTGCGCACAGTCTGTGTGGACGTCTGCAGACTCTGCTGTGGTATTTCAGGCAATGCTTGTGTTGGTGGCGGCGCCAGGGGCGGCGGTGGTGTTGTGGATGTGGGTGGAATGGGCAGCGCCTTTTCCGAGATCGATTCTGTGACGGTCGACAGTGTTGTGGCGCCGGTGCCAGGAGGATTAGAGCCTATGGAACTCTGCCATGTACGGGCTGTGAACCCGCTGGATCCAGATTCGCGAGGCATAGAGGACATGGCCGGCTGCTGGCGACGGCTCAGAGGTTCCTGATGCAAGCCGTAGTCACGAGTGAATTCATCCAAGATCCTCTCTTCCTCGTCAGAAGAGTCGTCGAAAAATTGGCCTTCAGAGGGATCACGTCGATCTGCATAGTCGGGTCTTTGCGGCTGGAGCTGAAAGCGCTCCCTCTCCCTCTCGCTGGCCAATTCATACGCCTCCCTCCCAGTCTGTCGTACGCGCTCACGTGCTAACTCGACTTTGCGCAGAGCGTTGGCTACGACCTCATCATGAGCTTCTTGTTGCTCAGGAGGAGGTACTGCTGCGGGCTCGTAACCATCGTTGTACGCAGCCTCAATTGCCTCATCCAAGGCATTGTCGAACTCGGCTTCAGTGCCGCCACTTGCAGGACGTATTTGCCTTCGTCGATAGCCCAAGGACGATGTGCGTGAGTGGACAGAAGAGCCTGTCGAGCCACCAGACTCATCTATAGGATCCAACCACGAATGCTGGCTATCCTCTCGTGAGTGCTCGGGACCCCGATGTGTCTCGTAGGACATCCCATTAAGGGACAACTGAGTCTCTGCAGGTTCCCCCGGTTGGCGAGGATGGTATGACCGTTCATCGGCACTCTGCGCAGCCAAGGCAATCTGGGGCGTTGTGGAGCCTGCGCTCGCGGGCATCTGGCGGGCATTATCAGGAAAGCGAGAGCTTATCGGGGAACGTGAAAAGGACGATTGTAGAAAGCCGGGTTCAGCTGATTGCGCGAGTAGAGAGGGTTGGAGGTATGCTTGAGAACGTGTATTCCAAGACTGTGCATCATGCGCATCGTCCAAGACCACGCGTTTCACAGTGGCTGTCTCCAATGTGGATGCCACGTTCGCTTCCGACGACTGGTCGCGCCGACTTTTGTCTTGTTGCCGATAATTTTGCTCTGGGCTGTACTCAGGAAGAGCCTTGGCATCTTTATGCTCTTCATATGGAGGCAATATCTGATCTAGTTCCTCTATACGACTGGTGTAGGTTCGTTGCTTTATTGTCAGTACCGCTGCGCTATTCATCTGGCGGAATCTGAATGACTCACGATAGCTTCTAGCTTCTCCTTGTCCCCTTGAGCTGTGGTCCTCTGGAGAATTTGTTGCAGTAACTCACAGGCCTCGACGTACAGAGGCCGCGCACCAGAGAATTCTTTGTCGTTATCCATATTTACCGCCATATTCGCCTTCTGCAGAGCACGCGATAACATTGCTTTCTGTGAAGATTTGGAGGGCCGATGTTTCCCAGAATCTCCACTGCTCTTCCCCGACCTACTGCGCGAGTGACCGTGCGCCCCATGAGACTCGCCTCCGTGATCGAGTGGCATCTTGCACGGCGTTTCAACAAGTGTCCTGTGAATATGGTTTCTGGATCGATGCAGTGAGCCTTGGCGACTATGAGATGAATCGTGTTGGTCCCACGCAGACGAATAGTCCTGGCCAAAGGGGGGGAGCGGCTCGAACGCTGGAGGACCTGCAGATGAGCGACGGGACCCTGTGTTTGGTGATTCCGAGGCTATGTCTCCAGAAAGGGCAGCGGCGTCACGGCTGTCACTGGGTTGCCGGCTGCCTCGGAACTCCTGCGATGACCGCTCTGTCGAGGGCGACGAGCTGTGCAAAAGAAACGCGGATTCAACGCTGTTAGACCGACGGCCGACAAGAATGATAGACCCAGAGGCACTGAGACTCAGCCCTGAATGACCGGTATCAGTCCCAGGCGTGGCTAATGGGCGCTTGGAGGGTGTGTTGTTCAGGCGTGCCGGGGAGCGAGCGGCAGTCGATGGCCGATCCCAATCGCTCCGTCCTCCCGGCGAGTCTGTCTGCTCGGGCCACTCAGAGGATTCCCAAGTTGTCAAGCGGGCATAGGTACCGGGAGTTTCGTAGGTTCGACCCGTGGACGTCTCGTTGTGTGAGGGCGGTGACAAGGAAGAAGTCCTGGGAAGTCGGGCTCGGGGTATATGGGCTCCAGTCGCTGAGCAACCCAGTGTCGATGGGGTTGGTGCTGGCCGGGTTGGCGGTTGCAGGTGAGACGGTGGAAGCCCACCTTGAGTGTAATAAGGGCTCTCAACTATATCACTGTGAGGCGTCCAAGTAGTTTGCATCATTCGAAATTCAACAGCCTATTGAATACTCGCAGACGCAGTCGTGGTCGACGAAGTTCGGACCCAGAACGAGAACAGATGCAGTCCAAGAACGACACTTTCCCGTATCGTCTAGTCTAGGTAGGCGGGTGGGCAGGAGATCCGAGAGGTGGTGAGGTGAGGGACTGGAGTGGCGGGCGCAAGGGATGTCCATGGAGCGTATACCTAAGCAAACTGCGTCAGGGGTCGTTTCGCACAGGTCTATTCGAATTCGGTCGCGTTCGATCGACACGGGGCGTATTGGTCAGGGAATAACGCTTCGCCGTCTATGATATGCCTCGCAACGCCAACTGGAGGCTCACGTTACTTGAAAAGACTGAGGCATGACATGACGAGCTGGCCGCAACGGTGAATTCGCCAGGATAGTCTTCAACGAGGAGGAGTTCGACATGATCGAGTCCGACGGCGTTATTGGTGGAGTTGAATCAGGGGTTCACTCTCAACCGGCCATTCACACAGGCTGCCATCATGAGACCCGCTAGTCGCCACAGTTATGGGTGGGGCTATAGGCGAGTCACCCAGATGGTCTTGGCGAAACTGGAGCTTGACACGCTAATCCAAAGTCAAGCAAGGTATATCAATACTTCACCTTACAGGAAGAATTTCGAAGTTCCAGTCGGTCGCGATACTGCTTCCCTCATCACGCCAGTCCACAACTTCCGGAGGTTCTTTTGCAGCCTATTCTTAACAATCGAGACAATTGCATTCCAAGCGTAGTGCCCATCCACGAAGAGACATGGCCAGTGCCGACGGAAGCTTCAGGCAATCTTCCGCGATTAGCAAACGCAAGCTAGAACCAATCAAGGATCCGAGTGAGTGGTCTCGACTCAGGCATGCTTGGTGTTGACCACTATGTACTTATCCATGACAGACGAGATCTATAAATCGGCCAAATACAATAAGGGTGGTACAAATCGACACATGCAAACACAGCCAACGCACGAGACCGAAAATGGACAAGAACACGATCCTATGAATGGCGACGACGAAGATTTTGGCCCAGAGATGCCCCCGGACGACGACGAGGATCGCTTCTTCGGCGGGGGTCTTAGCAAAGAAGAATCGCAAATCATTGACTACGTGGACGACGCAGATGACGGGAGGAATGTTGACAAGATCGACGCTGGCTGGCTGCGAAAAACAGCCCTTCATTTTGAGAAACGCATCTCTAAAAACGCCGAGCTGAGGTCCAAATTCGAAAACGAGCCACAGAAGTTCATAGGGAGCGAAGCCGACCTGGACACCGATATCAAATCTCTCTCAGTCTTGGCTGAGCACCCTGAACTCTATCCCGAGTTTGTCCGCCTCGGATGTGTTGATCGTTTGATCGGCTTACTGGCTCATGAAAACACCGACATCGCAATCGACACAATAGAAATAATCAGCGAGCTTACGGATGAAGACGTTGGGGGAGACGAGGGCGAGGTGGTCATGCTGCTCAACGCAATGTTGGAGGCGGATTTATTAGCCCTCCTCGTGTCCAACCTGGGCCGTTTGAACGAGGACGACGAGTCAGATAGAAGTGGTGTCTATCATGCGCTGAGCGTGATCGAAAACATCTCTCTACGGGTGGCCACGGCTACGCGCGTCAGTCAAGACCGGGGCATTTTGGATTGGCTGCTTCAACGCTTGCAACGCACCGAGTCAAGCACCACGCAGAACCGGCAATACGTAGCCGAAATCCTCGCCATTTTGTCGCAAGCATCTGCGAATTGTCGATCCCAGTTGATCAAGCTTGACGTCGTGGACGTACTTCTCCAGCTCGTTGCAGTCTATCGGAGACGAGATCCCGAGAGAGGCGGCGATGAGGAAGAATATGTGGAGAACCTGTTCGAGGCTGTGACGTGCTTAGTCGACGAAGCCGATGGCAAAGACAAATTTGTCGAGGCAGAGGGCGTTGAGTTATGTTTGCTCATGCTCAAGGAAGGAAAGATGAGCAAAGCGCCAGCCCTTCGCCTCCTGGAGCATGCATCAACAGGCAGCAGTGCTTTTAATGTCTGCTGCAAGATCGTTGAATCAGGCGGTCTCAAAACGACATTCTCACTCTTCGCAAAGACTCGTGACCATCGCCTGTCTAGCCATCTCATAGTCATTTTTGCGTCCATGCTTCGCGTGTTGCCTGGCGACTCCGCGGAACGAATACGTACGTTGGCCAAATTCGTCGAGAAGGACTACGCGAAGGTTGGGAAACTCGTGGAGCTTCGCCGTCACTACAGCCTGCGCGTGAAACTGGCTGAGCAGCAGAATGCTGAGGAGCGCAAGCTAGCCTCTGAACAGGACGCACCTGACAGAGAGATCGAGTGGCTTTCCCGGCGCCTCGATGCCGGTCTTTTCACCTTACAAACGATTGATGTTGTTTTGGCGTGGCTCATGGTCGAAGACAAAGGCGCTAGGTCTAGGGTTGCAGAGGTTCTAGCCCAAGAAGACCTGCCGTTGTCCGTGATCAAAGCCACACTCACGGAGCAGATGGAAAACTTAGACACCAGTCAACAACATGCTCAAGATTTGAAGGATATGCTAGAGACTCTGGTCGATTTCCTGCGGTAAGGAATCTATCCTGTTGCAGAGCGCCATCCGACAGCGGCGCCTACATTTGTCATGGCATCTGTAATTGTCGCTATGACTTGACTACAGGTTGATGCATGACCAACCACCACGCATTATGCGCGGACAGCAGGCTGTGGCTTGGCCTCGAGGACAGCAGCCAAGAGGTTTTTGACAACGCCTGCCTGACTCTTCTTGCCGGCTTCCTTAATAAGCTGAATCTGTTTCTCAGCCTCCTTGTTTGCCTCGTCTTCTGCTTGTTGATTTCCTTGGCTGTGCTGCAAATGATGAGCAACCGTTCCGCGATAGGGACTTTCGAAAGACGTACTTCTGCTTCGAACTTCTTAAACTCCTCCTCTTTCTGGGACTTGTAGCTGGCTATTTCGTTCTTGGCTTCATCCCGGGCTTCCTTGACGCGTTTTGTTCTGACTATAGGCAGCAGTCGTTAATTGATTATTCGCGGTCGATTCAGGATTCGTCTTACACTCGCGCGCTAGAAGACACAAGGTTGGTTAGCTACACGGCTTACGATACTTTGTTGAACATGGATCACATACCCTTCTGCACAATCTTCGACGCTTCCCTCTCAGCCTGGCACTGTGTGAGCGAAAGTACAACTGGATGGCTCGAAGAGCAAATACATCGAGGAGAGTTTGGATTCCGGCGGAATTCTGGGCAGACTACGTAGTTATTAGCAGAGGAATAGGCTCTCGAGATCTCGGGATTGCGCACCATGATGCTTCCCAACGATGAACAATTTTGCGCAGCTGAAATGAATCAAAAATATGTCAGTGTGGATATAATTGAGGTACTGAAAGAATCTGGGATCCGAAGTTGTGGGTGATTGGTCTTCAAAGCTCGTACATGTGCTGGAATCCAAGCACCTCAACTCAGGTGCTGTATCACAGTCCGATGGGAACCTTTCGTCACCGGGTGTAGCTGGGGTAAGGTATCAGCTGACTTGTGCAACCTCAAGAATACCTTATGCATGCTTATGTGCAGCGCTTGCATCCCGATTCCCGTTCCCGAAGACCCTCGCTACCCGCTACAGCGATATTTTGTGCAAACGTCTCATCCCTGCCACATCTTGGTCACAGTAAACAGGCGGCCGTTTTTAACGGCGCAGAGGTACGAACTCGGAACGCTAACATCAAACTTGCTACCAGCACGAGCATCCGCATGCACATTGCTCCCGCCTAACAGCTCACACCGCGCACCTGTGGCTTCGGATCAAGACCACGCAAATCACAACGTGCAGATCGCATAATCAGAAATGTCGCGAGCATCGAAACTCACGCTTGGCGCGACATCGCTCTTCGCTATGAGCACCATCGTGTTTGTCCACTTTCAGCAACAAGCTGAGCAGGCAGTACGCGTCTCCACACGCTACCTCAGAGCCAAAAATTGTTGACGCTAGGACTAGGCAATGCACCTAGGTGTTGTGCGCGACATGGAGCAGCAACGCATCAAGCGCGAGCGACAACTCGATTTCGATTTACAGAAACAACTGGAGGAAGAGTACAAACGCGAACAGCGCGTGAGGAGCTACATAGATCCTCCTGGACAAGGAGACTCGATAGCGCCAAGATGACTGGGCACCTACCTACCTACGCGCGGTCGCGATCAGCAATACTTGCGGCCAAACGCATTGTAAAACATATTCGTGGAGCCTTCTGCGCTCGTTGTAACATCTTGTTGTGCTGCTACTACTGGGCGTCACTAGCGACGGATGGATGCTATCATGGTCGTAAGTTCGAGACCTTGTTCTATCTAGCTTAGATTACATACATATCAAACTTAACGCCACTATGCATTTCCTGTGTTTTTGCCATGCTGGCCAGAACTCCCTGTGACGCGCAGAATAAAACAATTTTGAAGGATGCGCCCGAACTTAGCGGATAGATGCACCGGAGCGGCTGGTGAACATCCTGGCGGCAATGTTCATTGCTTGTAGCTCTTGGAAAAGCAACTTGGCTGCGTATGGTATGTGTATCTGAGCAATCTTGGTCTTGTTTTTACAAGGCCGGCACTCAAATGACTGCTTGGAGAGGTTGCTGCGACTGGAGTCAGTAAATGTTGGTCAAGAGGATGATGAGTTGGCACTTACGCAATCGGCGTCATCAGCCCGCAAATTTCGCATACGTGAACGCGGAAAGCATCCGAAACCTCAAAAAGTCGCTCCTTGAGGAAGGCTGCTGCACCGTGGGCAATCATGCAGTCGCGTTCCATCTCACCGAAGCGCAAGCCACCATCACGCGCACGACCTTCCACCGGCTGGCGTGTCATAATTTGAACCGGTCCACGTGCGCGAGCGTGAATCTTGTCGTCGACCATGTGTCGCAGGCGCTGGTAGTAAGTAGGACCGAAGAACACCTGGGCGCGCAGTTTCCTGCCAGTGTAACCATTGTACATGACCTCGAATCCCCGCGACTGATATCCGTGTCCACGGAGAAGCTCGGACACTTGATCGACTGTTACTTCGGTAAAGGGCGTGGCGTCACCCTCAAGACCTTCCATCGTAGCGACTTTACTCAAGAGACATTCGATCAAGTGAGCAATTGTCATACGCGAGGGGATGGCGTGGGGGTTGATGATGATATCGGGGGTGATACCCTCGCGAGTGAAAGGCATGTCCTCCTGCCTATAAGTAACTCCAACCGTACCCTTCTGACCGTGACGCGATGCAAACTTGTCGCCAATCTGAGGAATCTTGGTTGTCCGAACTCGCACCTTCACATACTTTGTGTTGTCCGCGTTGACCGTCAGGATGACAGAGTCGACAATGCCATTCTCGGTGCTTCGTAGCGGTGTCGAAATGTCGCGCTTCTGGTGTGCTTGAGTTCGAGCCCCGAGATCCTGGGTTTCTGGGTCGATTGGTGCCGTTTTTCCGATGATGATATCTTCACCGGATACACGAACGCCAGGAGCAACAATACCGTCCTCGTCCAGTTTGTCGTAGGTACCATGTTTCATACGGAGCGTGTTGGGTTGGAACGGCTTCTCGAACATCTCGGTATAGTTGAGGCCCACTTTCTTCTCTTGATCCGAGTAAGAGCGGAAGAACAAACTGCGGAACAGGCCTCGATCAATACTACTTTGATTCATGATGACCGAATCTTCCTGATTGTACCCGGAGTAGCAAGCGATGGCAACGATAGCGTTTTGACCAGCAGGAAGCTCACGAAACTTGAGATATTCCATCGATCGAGTGGTGCCAAGGGGTTTCTGAGGATAGTAAAGGATATTGGACATGGTATCCATACGACGGTTGTAGTTGGTGAGGAAGAATCCCATGGCTTGCTTTCCCATGGCCGATTGGTATGTATTACGAGGTGACTAGGGAAGTGTCAGTACAACATATTGTCACAGCAGAAAAAAGACGTACCTGGTTGTGATCGGGAAACGGAATAATGCTGGCACAAATACCGAGAATCATGCTAGGGTGAATCTCGCAGTGCGTGTACATATGTGTCGTGGGATTCGTTTTGGTACGCAGGCGCTTGTTGGGCTCCGCAGCCAGGTCCTCGTCCACATTGTAGCCTAGCTTCTGTTGCCGGTAGAGCTCCAAATCATCGGGAGTCATGCAAATCATGGCAGTCTCTTCTTCCTCGGCATCGAGATACTCGATGCAGCCACTTTTTACAAGCCACTTCCAACCAGTCACCTCCATCAACTCTTGTCCGTTGTCCACCTCGTGCATTTCAGACAACCCGGACACATGCTCCTTGGTCAGGCAGAGGGAGCCTTTCTCTGGCTGGCCAATCTCGCCGTCGTGTTGCTGCACGGTGAGCAAAGGGCGCATGACGCGGCCGGCATCCGAGAAGAACTTGAACTCTCGATCACGGATGTCGCGAACAAGCGAAACCTCCTCGCTTATGCCCCCGCTGCGGCGCATTGCCACCAAATGATCCACAAGTTCTCTAGGATTCTCGTGTACTCCTACCCAGCTGCCGTTGAGGAACACCTTGGTTGAGTTCGGGAACCGTTTGGGCTCGTACTCTTCGAGTACTTCCATGCCTCTGCTGATGAAGAAATTGTACAAGGGATCGGCAGGAGTGCCGACCGAAACGTGGCACATTAGCGACAGGTTCTTGACAAGGCCACAAGCCTGACCCTCCGGAGTTTCCGCAGGGCAGACGAGGCCCCAATGAGTATTGTGAAGCTGTCGCGGCTTGGCTAATTTACCGTCACGACCGATGGGGGTGTTGGTACGCCTGAGATGAGACAATGTCGAGGCAAAGGTATATCGGTTGAGTACTTGAGAAACACCAGCTGTAGAGCTCATAGCCTTTTTCTGGTCGCCCCAGTTGCCCGTGGCGAGCGAATACTTGAGGCCGTTCGACAGGGTTGAGGATTTCAGACCAATCTTGATGTTGAAGTGCCTGTTGCTCTCGACACACCGCCTGAGATATGTTGACAGCTCGGTGTTGATTCTGCGCATAATGCCGCGGAATAGCTTGGCCAGCAAAGGACCAGCAAGATCGAGGCGCTTTTTCCCGAAATGATCTCGATCGTCTGGCTCCCGGCGTCCAAGGGCACATTGTAAGAGCTTGTGTACCATGTACCCGAGGAAAAACGCCTTCTTTGTCTCATCGCCCTCGGTTTGAGACACGTGAGGAAGAGTTTCTTTCTGCAAAATATCTCTCGCAACTCGAATGCGTTTGTCGCGGCCCAGACCTGCCTGATCTCGGTTGCCACGTTTCCCAATGTAGTCCAGGGCCACTTCGCGATCTTGGACGGCAAAAGCCTCCTCAATGCAAGGCCGAAGCATCTCCAGCATCTCGGTGTCGTTCTCGTCGTAGCAAATGTGATTGAGAATCTCCTCGTCCGACACAACCCCAAGGGCCCTAAACACAATAGCCACAGGAATGTCGGATTTGACAAAGGGTAGGGTGCTCGCAATAGTTTGACCAAACCCGCCACGGGCAGAGTCGCCTTTTCCGTTCAACTTCAGCTGGAGACTGGAAATGAGCCGCGAGCCCTTCTCCAGCGCACTCCTGATCTCTGCTGTGTAGGTGAAGGGGCTGGGCTGGGCTTTCTTAAAAACTTGGACAATGTTGGCGGCGGACCGCTCTTGGGCGATCAGGACTTTCTCGCTACCGTTGATGATGAAGTAGCCGCCTTGATCGTAAGGACACTCATTGACAACGAAAAGCCCTTCATCGTCCTCGTGGCGCAGGTGGCATACTTCTGACTTTACCATAACTGGCAACTTGCCAAGATAAGCAGGGTCATTCTGCATCTTGCCTGAGAGATTCTCATCCTCGTCAGCCGGGCTGCCTGTCTCGTAGACCCAGTTTCTGTCCCTGTCTTCGATATCGTCCGGCTCTTGCTCGTCCTCGTGAATGACCTTGACGACCTGGTGCACATTCGCGTACATAGCACTCGAATATGTCAGATTGCGGTCGCGGCATTCGTAGGGAAGTAGGGTCATAGGCACGCCATCCGTTTCGCTGACGTTCGGTTTGGCCACAGAGATTGCACCGAACCTCAAAGCGTACCGACGCAATGCCAAAGGGTTTCGAGAATCGCTCGGTGGCGGATTCGGCTGGTCGAGTGTGATTTTGGCATATTCCTCCACAAGACTTCGTATGGTTGTTCCAGTGAACTCGTCAAAGGAGTCAATCTGCTGTGAGACCAGGCCATTCTCTTCAAAGAATGATGAGATGACCGTCCAGCAGTCTTCGGGCGTGACACCCAAGCCTTCCTCGTCAGCGTAGTCGTATTCGTAGCCGTCCATGATGTCTAAGTAGCGTTCGATCGTTCGTCGTTTTTGTCACGCGCAAATCTCGGATATTTGTATCGCCTGGAACTGATTGAGACCTGCTGGGCGACAAGCGGGCGGTGGCGATCGGGCAAGGACGACTTGAAGAACAAAGACCTGAAGCTTCAGGCACTACGTGCGCATCAAGGCCAAGCTAAGCTGAGCGCTGTACGCCCCTTCGCGATACTGATTTTTGCGCTGACTTGATGACAAAGTGGCAGGGTTGTATTGATGCGCACGCCTTGAAGGTGGGAGAAGTGATGACTGGAGGGGATGATGAAGCGAGGACACAGACGCGTTTCTCTTGAGAAATGCGACGGGTCGCCGAGTTGCTCTCACGCTCCACAAGGGCGAATCAGTGCAAGAAGCACAATTATACGCTAGACCACTTTAATAGGACAAAGATGAGTCAGCGAGCCGACGTCACCTTGGCGCACGTGCCTGAAGTGTTACCGCGCTAACTTACTACGAAGTAGTAGTAGTTGGGTACTAGCATACCCACAAGTATCTGACGTGTACCTGCTATACCAACGTTAGTGATTAATGAGCACGGGTGCTACTTAAACCGAGTACAAATTATAAGTATGCAAGACTTCAAGTTGACAATGACCACCCAAACGCCATATGGCAGTTAAATACTTAGGTAAGTACTTAGATATTCGTTCCAAGCATCCTGAACTGTGCTGTACGGGTGCCAGCCCCGATCTATTACTGTCTACGTTTTCAGTACGAACAAATACCACCAAATTCATCATCCATCGTCCACGAGCCTGCGAGGCCCTTAACCTCGACGTCCTCTACAAGATCGTTGGGGTGTCGGTTACGGTTCTCACCATCAGGGCGCACCTGCCTCTTCATAAAACGTTTTGTCCAAGAGTGGACCGCCGGGTCGCCAGTCTCATCACGGGCCTGCTTCAGGAAGGGTATGAGGGCCGTTCCACCAGTGCCTTTTTGGGCCTGAGGCTTACCCTTAGTCGAAGCAACGGCAATGTTGTTGCGCTGCCGGACAGCTTCAGGACTCCTAGATCGACTGCGGGCTCGCACTTCGCGGGATGGCGTTATAATGTACCGAGTCACGATCGTGATATGCTGGTCGCGGAAAGCACTCAACATCGCCAGGCACGCATCGTAGGCCAGCGACAGCTCTTCGTTTTGGCGCTCCACTACAAATGATCGTATGTTTGAGGCCCTGGAGGCATCTTCCAAGAATCGGGCATGCGCTCCGGGCATGTAGTTGCGCATTTCTCGAATGAAGTTGTGGCGTTGCGACGGATCTCCGGCAGTGACATGTAATGCATTTACACGCCGTTCACCTGTTGGTCGATGCTCAATCCCGAGGGCAATGTCGAAAAACTGAATCAAGCTGCTTTGCGCGTTGCTTCCCCCACTGTATTGTCGATACTCTTCCGTGCCCGTGCCCGTCGCATACAGCACGCCGCGAGGCAGCCCGGCTTCAGCCATGTTCTTGCTGCCTGCTAGAAAAGGTCGTATACGATGGTAGAAGACAGTAGGGTCACAGCTTTCGTGCATGCGCCGCAGAATGGTTGTCAAGTCGGTCAAGCGCTCTGCGAATGCGCGCAGACTTTGCGTGACAGATGTGACATCGCCTTCCTGGGCTGCCTTCATAGCACCGAGCATCAGCGGCACAATGGGGGCTCCGCGGGCCTCAATAGCCACAGACACGAGGTAAAACCACGACTCGTCCATGGAGCCTGTGAAAGTGTTGAGCGTCGATAAATTTTCGAGATTGTCGATACCCTCATCGAGGAAGAGCGGCTTGAAATTCCACAAGCAGACGGCGGCATAGGTGGCAACGGGTGGCAGCTCAAGATGAGCTGACACCTCAAGTAAAGGGATTGAGATGGACTCGGGAATTCTGTCTGCCGGAGCATCGCCGCCCCAGACATAAGCATGGAGCATGAAGCCGAGAAGTGAGTATGCTCGGCGCCATTCTGCCTCGTTCTCGAGTCCCACGGTCGAGAGAACAGGTAAGTTAGCGATGATGCCACGGAGACGGCGACTGAGCACAAGAGCCTGCAGATTTGATACGATCGCTTCCCATTTGTTGTAATAGGGGTCGGGGAGTCTCGCCAGTGGTAAAGTCTCGGGTAAGAAGCCGTTGGTGGGGGACAGGCCGTAATCTCTTAGGTCCGGCACCGGCGGCAGCATTTTTTTCTGTATAGCCTTCTTGACGGCTGGAGTAGTCTTTGCCGCAGGTTTCGAATTGTCAAGTGCCAATTCAATCTTCGGGAGGGCTGTTCGTGAAGAGGCCAAATGAGTTTGCAATGTTGATAAGAATGTTTGAGCAAGCAATGTGATCGCAGAGAGAATGTGGCGAACGGATGTATATATTGCGTTAGAAAGTGCACTAGTTGCCGCGACCAGAAAATTGGAACTGTCAGAGTGACTAGTGGACCCGAGTCTTGTCATCGTCTCGGCCAGATCGGGAAATCTAGGGAACGACTAGCCCGCTGGTCGGCGCGTATAGAATTGTTTAGTAGATAATTGAACGATTCGCTCGCCCAGTAGGCGGAACGTCAGGCTAGAAATAATCGGCAATATATGTATGACGAGGTGTATATGATGTCGATGGGGGTTCCTCTCGAGTCACAAAGGTACAGGATTCCTTATATAGGTACGAGTCCCTCAGGCCCATTCACGATTGAGCATCTTTACCCGCCGGCGGTCGCATGATGACCACAGCGACTTACTGGCCTGTGATTGATTGCCGTGGAGCTCTCAGAGCTTTGGTCTATCAATCATAGTTCAACACATTGTTGGCGCACAGACAGTTGACACAATATTAAGGACTTTCGAGGACAGAGGTCTGTGTGAAGGCTGGTGTTGTGTCTGATATCTAGCGTACCGCACGCCTGGCGCTCACAAACGCCAAATTCCGTAAGATCGGCATATGTGAGATTGCTCCAACACAAGACGAGGACGGGGTCACAAGACAGCTAACTTGTGTGCTGTATGCAAATTTGTGACGGATATACTATATTCACATTTACATATGGAAGGAGTAACATCAACCATGACCCAGGAAGGAGGAACAGGGTACCTCGGGTGGTACGGTCACGGTGTTGATAAGGTGGAGAAGGCAATCACGGCGGAGACGATGGCGGGGTTCGGTCTGCACCAGCTCCATGTCCCTCCGAACGCTGGCAATCTCTCCCACTTGTCACCTCGCATTACTCTGAGACTAGCACTTGGCACCTCGGTGCTCATCGAGTGTTGCACCTGAAAGAGTCCGGCCACCAGTAACTCAAGCATGCAATACCCTAGTTAATGGGTTGTCACGCCTGCTCCCCGCTCCTCGGTTTTACTCCACGCGCACGCGTGCGCAAGCCGGACCGCCAGCACCGGTCGACTGCCAGCCCATCTAAGGTCTGATCATGCCAGTCCAGCAGCATGTTCTCAACTGGCTTTACAGTGTTCTGACCAGCGTATGTGGTCCTCCATCACTCGCGTCAATGGCTGCAGACCCTCTGATACGCTCGCAGGAATATCATGATGTGAACCGAACGTACAACGACGTTGCACACGCGCTAGCACGGTTCCCATCCCTTGCTCCTCGAACCGACGTCTACAGTACGACCAATCCCCAAGGATGACTCCTCAGCGCGGTCTAGACTGATTTTGTGCGCCAGCATTCACTAGTGGCTCCAGCGCGCTTCTGGTGCATCTCGCCGGTACATTGCCCGTCACCTTTCGGGGCAGCACATACAGGTTTCCCGTCTCTGTATGGATGCCTCATGCGTATCCCGAGCAAGGGCCTCTGATTTACGTCACACCAACCGATACAATGTCCATCCGCCCAGGGCAGCACGTCGATCCTCAAGGACAAGTCTATCACCCCTACTTAGTGAACTGGGCATCGAACCCGCAAGTACGTTGATGTTTCTGCAATGGTGGAGGGGTCACTGACGGATCACGAGGCTTCTTCGCTCGTAGGGTTTTTGGAAATATTAGCGGAGGTATTTGGGAGAGAGCCCCCAGTGGTTGCTCGACAAGTTGTACGTCCAGATGCTGGTCCTCCGTACTCTGCCACGACACAACCACCTGATCAAAGCTTTGTACGAGTTCGACCACCGCCTCCTCCACCAAAAATGACCCAGCCAGCTCCATCGGACCGCTCATCTCTTTCCATCTCTGAGACAAGGGGGCCGCCGCTGCCACAATTGCCGTTAACCTCAACCAATGAAGCACCAAACCTTTCCCGATATGATTCAGCCCCCCCGCTCCCTCGAAATGCCCAATCGCCCATGGCATCAGGGACACAATTGCTGTCGAATAGGCAATCATACGACATGCAGGATGCCCGGCGTTTAAGCAACCATGCGGATTATAACCCGCAAGGTGGTTTGAGCCCAGGCGGCACCGCTGTTTCTCCGCCCCAGCTCCACGGGCGACACCCAGGCCCATCTCAGCACCCTGGGCTGGGACAGCCACCTCATATGGTATCGCAAGCGCAACAGCAGTTTCTGCCATCGCATACATGGCACGTTCCTGAGCAAAGGCCGACGCAGCAGCTGCAGACCCAAGCGAGTGAGCACCCACTATTGCAGAGGCCACCCCGAGCACCCGCCGATTTGATGGATGAACCGCTGGAACTGTCCATACCAGACAGCTCCTCCGTCGCGCCACCGCCGATACCCCCCAACCCGGAGAAAGATGCGTTGCTCCGCCAGCTAGCTCATACATTGGCGGCTCTGCGCCAGCATAATCGCCAGCAGAACAACTCTAGTCTCTCCGGTCTACAAGCGCAAAGAAAAGCAATGCTAGCGGTTCTGCCGACAATGGAGAACGAGATGAACCAATTGACACACTTGTCTAGCGTGTTGTCATCAAATGCCAGTATCCTCCGTGAGTCGTTGCGCAAAGCAGACGGGGTTATCGAGGGCTCCAGGAGCCACCCAACGCCTTCTATTGATGATCTGCTTGTCGCACCTACTGTCGTGGCGAATCAACTCTAT